TATGACAGACCTATAGTGTTGACCATGTAAACCAATTCCTGCCTTTGCAGCTCTGTTTGCAGCTTCACCAGCTGCTCCAGAGTAATGGGCTCCCCTAGCAAGGCTTCGTCTTCCAGGAGTCTCACTTCCATGATTGCAATGAGGGCGGTGAATGTTAGACAAATCTGGCCCCATAAATGTTCCATTGTCAAAGTCGCGTGGGTGAAAGGGAAACAACCCCGTTTTCTGACTTTGATAACCTCAAAACAGTTAAAGTAATTACCCCCCAGCAAATCTTAGCCAGGACAAACCATTGTCAGAGTAGCCATACAGGATGCGCTGGCAACACTCTACGAGTGGTGGCAACTTAGGCGAGCATCCAATTATCTGAGAGCTCCGTGGTCCTATGGCTCGGAAAAAACAGTCATCACTAGCCACTATTGGGCTGCAATGGCACTTGCATAGCACCCGGCTTAATGACCCCCCCATATTTGTTTATCAAAAGGTTGATGGTCCCGATCCCAAGCAAAACCAAGCTTTGACATTGGCACCTATGAAAACCTCAAGCAGAGTCGGGCCATTACGGTTTGCACAACATGAGCACTATTTGTTCAAACTGATCTTGCCCTGAGGGGCTTGGGCTTGTTGAAGAACTACCCCACGGTTTACAGATCGCAGCCTTTTCCCACCCCAGGCAGCCGCGGCATTAAAATCACTTCAGGTGCATTCACCAGCGTAGTAAGTGTTGGCGGCCCTTTGGTGGATCTGATTTAGGGAGCGGGGGCGGGGGATTCTTGCAAAAATCTGCGGGTCTATGCAGAATCATGATTGACTTCCCCAGAGAATGCTTCAGAATTTAGCTTCAACTGCGCTTTGTTCCTTCTGCGAAAAAAAGAAAGACAGAAAACAGTAACTCAATTGCTGAAGCTGAATATGTGACCTTTCGGGAAATCAATGCAAACCCCCGCAGAAAATGGTTTGAACCAAAACCTTCTTGGCTGTCTTTGAAGGAGGCCTTGAACAACCGAAGCGATTTGGGTAGACCAAGACTCCCTCCCTGACTCGGACCGGAGCCGAATCGATGAGGCCCCCGACCTTTTCTCACTTGCCCAAAGGGCGAGGCTAACCTTTTGGAAATTCGACTAAACATGAACCAACATTGGAAAACCGAAAGGTCACACGGTCGAGTTTGGACAAGTGACTTTTGGCTGGTGGAAAGGAAACATGAAGGAACCTTCAAGTTGTTTTGTTCCCTAAGCATCTTGGACCAATTGTTGAGGCCAACACCTTCCAATGGAAGTCCCAGCCTATTCAATGGAGGGTCCAATGATGCATCGGGGTTGGCCTTCTCTCCGAAAAGCAAAGATGGCGGAACCCCAAAAAAACAAACAGGCGAGATGTTGGTCTGGAGAGCAGCGTTTTGCGTTCATACTCCCCGGCCCTTTGCCTTCTGCATGCCGGGCGGGGCTCATCAAGCGCACCTGGCGAGCAAAAGAACCCCCAATACGCACCTTATCTTTGGATCCTGACTTACTTTTGTGGTTAGGCCCCGGTGTCAATATAAACCAAGCACTTTTGAAGTGGCTCCCTATTGCAGCTCAAAGCCATGCTAGTTTCTGGGAGGCTTCAGTGGCCCCTGGCAAGCCAGCCAGCATCTGGGTCCAAGGTGAAAAGACGTCAGCATGGGCAACCATGACGTAAAACCTAGACTTCGAGCTACATACAAAGCTAGGCTCTCACAGGGGCCTGGCAAAAAACAAAAAACGTCGAGCTCCGGCTTTCGATTGATAGTTCTACATTCCTTTTCGCATCGGGCCGGCACCAGAAAGCTTTCACGGGAACAAAAGCGACTAGGTCTTGGCAAGTCTATAGCCCGGGAAAGGGAATTTAGCTTCCCAGACTTTCCGGGTGATGTTAACCAGCTGAAATAGGAACTCGTTCCCATGCCCCCAGTGTTAAATAGAGGAGCTGGAAAAGCTGGACAAGTATCCACGTGTTTAGCCTTTTCTACTTCAGCTTTCGCCAAGCTAAACGAGCATGATTCCGGCGCATGTTTAGCAAAGCCAACTGCTTCCAAAAGCGACCTCATGGGGGATCTATCGGAAGCCTTCTTGGCATGGGGAGTACAGTCCTAAGAACCCCAAGGATACCTGATAATTTTCTAATTGTGGAAACGGACAAGGGCCCCTCACTCCCTGAGTGGACTGGGCAAAAAACACATTTTGTCGGCCACTAAAAATGGTCTACACCCAAACCAGTGACAAAGTCAATCAACCCAAAGAGTGAGATTCAACGAGGTAGTTGTCCACAACCTTCCTGTCCACTGCGAGGATGGTGGCAGGTGGCGGTGGTTCCTTTAGAACCCCTTATAGTAGTCCAAAACCCAAACATGTGGCTGCTTCGGTTTCCCCTTGCAACCCATCACCGCATCAACAAAATGCACGTCCTGCCTGCGCGGCATGGCCCCGAGCCCAGCTTCGAGAGCCAAGGCCGGGCAGGGCACGCATTGGGGGCCATGTTGAGGCATGAAGCTGACCCGAAGTAAATGGGTGTAAAGGCAAAGCACCCCCAAAATATAAATAAAGTTGCTGAACCCCTAACAAACCTTCACCTGTCACTTGAAGCGACTTAACCATTTTGAGAAGCCGCACAAAAGGAACACAAGTGAAAGCCGCTGAGCAACTAGGGTACAGGTTGGATTTTTTTGCATCCGCTCAAGAATCAAGTAGTTGGGGCACAACCCCCCGTTTTTGGACAAAAAGCACAAAAAGTTAGTCCAGAAAGTGGGGGCATGAGCTACACCTACTTGATGGTTTGCCATCCAAAGACGCAAGTAAAACAGGAATCTAGTGAATCCAAGCCGGTTCCGGATCGCCTGAACCACCACCAAGCATCCACCAAGCAAGTGCCTACTAGCACACGGACATCTTACCTTTTCAAAACCTAAACTGCTTGTTTATGTGGCAACAGATTTCACAGGCCAGCCACAAGCTTGAATTTGTTTTTTCCCCGGCCTCGCGACCCGGGGTTTCAGTCAACATTGTGGTAGCCGTAGAACCTGGGCACCTTCTGTAAAGCAGTGTAAAGCAGTTGCAACGGGAACCCTGCCAAGCAACCCGAACCAACCTGAACAGACAAAAAACCTGGCTCACCATTTGCGGTTGTTCACCATTTTAGAAAATGGCGACTACAGCGTCACGGGGTCACGGGTGCGACTAAACTTCGCAAAGCAAAAAATGCATGGGTGGAATCCACACATGGGAGATGCACGGATGCCAAATAACATCGAATATTCCTCTGCTAAATTATCAAAAAAAACAGAAAGAACATGTGTACATGTGATCCTTTTGGGAGCGACCAAAAGGATAATTACCACTGAGCTTGTTTGATGAAGGTGTTAAAACAGGCGCGGGTGAAACAAAGAAGCACTTCGCGAGGTCCTCCACTACTCCGTCCATCCAGGTGCTTTTGGAGTCGCTCCAGACCTGGTCGCACAAGGTACTCCAAGTGCTCCCCATGACCTGGATGAAAAAAGTACCCCGGCCAATTAAAAAATAAAAACGGGCGCACCCCTAACAGTGCTCTTGAATGGGACGCCCCGGTCAAAATCAAGCAAGGTTTATGAGTCCGTCGACATGTCATGGCTCCTAGAGTTCTGGTTCTGGCAAGGAACTTAGAGGGAAGAAGCTGAAGCTGCACCTGCAAAATCCAGCCCAACCCTCTAAAAAGGGGGCAAACGAGGCTACTCAGTCCGGACCGCCTTGCGCCAACATCTTGGAACCTCTACCCAAATAAATTCAGACTCCACTCTGTTCTATAGCACCTGCCCTGAAAACCATTCAACACCCAGGAAATGCAATCTGGCATTGGGTGAAACGAATGGTGGACCGGCAGACCCACGACCTGTTCACCCTACCCTCGCCATCTCCAATGCCGAGAGATTCAGCCGTGGTAGGATTCCCATTGCTACCCCATTATATTTTGCTTTCAGAGGGATTCCCCCCAGTATCACAGAACCTAAGCCAACTGTCCGCAACCATGGGTTCAGCCTGATTCGTCTATGTCCCCTGCCTGAATCGCATCGCCCTTGCGATAGCCCGTGCTGCCAGCGCTTCGTAACCTCGTGGCTACGTGTGGCGAATCAAAAGCCAAAATATATCTTCTCAAACATGGCGCGAAAATGATTAACCGACTCAACAACTCACTTGCTGAGTGGTTTGGCAAAAAGTCTAAGCTTTTCGTATTCCACTACTGATCTTCCCCAAAAAGCTGAAGAAGCCCATGAAGTCAGAAAGTGACAAGGGACATATAAGGACTCCTGAAGACTCCTGATTGAACAAGGGGCGAACAACCAAGTGGACCTCAAACTGAAACCTGATCCAAGGTCACTCGCTCACGTGGAATACTTGCGCAAAAACGAACCCGCAGCCCAAAACAACCTTTACAAACTGCTGTTCCCAAACAGCAATTTCTTACCACTGTATCTTCATAGGGAATTGCGTGGGCAACCAGCACTTGCAAACGGATGTTTCAGGATGGAACGTGGCGGCCAGGTGTGCACATGGCGGCCGAATCTTTCTGCGCCTCGGTGGGACGTTGGCATGAGCTCAAAGAGGCCCGGGCAACTTCAAGCTCACCCAGCAACTCTGGGGACCACCACGTAATTAACGAGGACACTTACCTTTAGGACTTTACTGGGGCTGAAGGGGGACCTCACCCTCTATTAATAGGACGCGGTCTACTTAGATCCGGGCTCAACACAAGGTGTTCCTGGGTTCAGACTCTTATGAGAGAGGGGGGGGGACGAGGGGCGGGAGGAGGGGGGGGGTGACACGCTTGCGGGACCCTTGGGGTCGCTTGGTGAGACGTGGTGAAACGGCGGCAATGTTTTGTGGCTCACTGCCCATGGTGGAGCATATGGGTTTGTCTCAAAAAGGGGGAACACACAAGTCGCTTGTTTCCTTTTGGTGTCCCTCTCAAACCGCCCGAAAAGAAGGGCCCATATAATGCCCCACAGGGCCTCAGACCAGCAGAGGCGGAATCTCGGGGATTTCACCTCGCCGGTGAATCAGTGACCTTTGGGTTGTTTTTTGTCACTTCCGATCGAGTGGACTGGCCAAACACAGTAACCGAACTTGTTATTGTACCACTAAAAAGGGTCTTTCCAAAAAGTCGGACGTCCAGGAACTCGAGGGAGTGCGTTGTTTGTTCCCAAACCGGTAGACCAGTCACTCTGTATGACTCCGAAAGGTCAAAAGGTTGGCTTTGGGCAAGTGAGGGGACCTGTAATCGATTCGCCTTTTGAGCCACATGAATACATGAATACTGCAGGAAAAAATCAGTCCCCGATTACCCTTGGCATGTGAATTTCGTGGCCCAAAGCTGAGATACATAGAACAACATATATTTCCTGACTCTGTTCCATATGTACCGTACAATGACTCATATTAATCCGTCAAGTCTGACGGTAGCCCTCATTTCCCGGTCCACTTTGCGCGGGCAATAGGATAGGACGACCACTTCCTATCGCGCTCTGATGAGGTGTGTCATGGATATCCTTTTCCAAAGAGGATGTTCAACAATCCCAAAATGATACATTGCTTGTGCCGTTCCACTTGCTGGAATTCTGAATGCCGCACCGAAAAGGCTTAGCAAGCAGCTGGAAGGGCTAGTTGAAACACTGAACTCCAAATAATATTCATGCTTTGAGAAACCAGGGTTTGCACCAACCACGTGACACTCCCCTGCCCCGACAAGCAAAACACGACTTTTAGTACCAATTTCGCCTGCCAACACCAACACTCAGCCAGACCGCGCAAACCTACAAAAGCAAACCTACAAAAACTCAAAACCGCAACCCTCCCATGCTTCCACTCGTCAACCAATCCCCCCCAACCCCACCCACCCCCCGCTTTAGACTTTCTCCAAATCAAGGCTGACAACGGCTGTTCGGTAGGGTGCTTTCTTTGGGGTTAGGGGGGTTGGAGCTTGCGGGAGGCTCGGATCCATTCAAGCTGTTTATCTTTTCAGCAGAGGCGTTGCAACTCTCCAGCAGAAAGTTTACAGAATCCGCCCTAAGCAACCCTAAGACGGTTGAATCTTGAGCCGGTTGGGATCATATCTAAGTGTTTTCAACTCTATGGTCACAAACCAGAAAAGAAGGTCAACACCCACCCCTCCTCCTCCAGAACAGCACCTTCATATATACCGTTATGCCCCCCTCAAAAAAAAGGTGTGTGTCAAAATCCAGGTGACCCCAGCTTTCCCTTGAAACCAACCCAACCCAAAGTGAGTCCCTCAAGAAAAATGGAAGTTGCTATGGCTCAATTCGGCCAGTCCCCGGCCCTTCCCTCATCCGCTCGAAGCGCCTGCCGCCTGCGCCAGCGCGGCGGTGCCATACGGCGCCGCCCCGAAGTTTTGGACCCGCGCGGCGCTTTTGCCGTGTCGAAACAGCGCTGCCAGGCGGCCTCTCCACGCCGGGGAGGGAACGAAGGGGCGCGATGGATGCCAGGGGCATTTACCCTTGCGGTCATTCCCTTGAAGGTATTGGTTTGGGGGGGGGGGGGGGAATGGAAACAATCTGAAACTATGGGCCAGGACCCGGAATTGGGCTCTGCGAAAAAGGGAACCTCGTCCGGTTTCCTGACCATGGTCAACCAACCGCGCTCGTCCCAAGGAAAAACCCGGGCGGTGGACAATTGATTCCCTTTAAAACTGCGAAAGGGTTTGAAACAGAGTTTCGGGATGGATAAAACAGGCCCTAACCCACCAACAAGAAGAGACTACCTTATCCCCCCCGGTCCCAAGGGCAAAGCGGTTGCCCCCGGCCGGCACTAACACGAACCAAAAGGGGTGCCTCGTTGTAACAAGAAGGAACCAAGCAGAAGCGCAGCACAGCGCAAAGCAGGCAAGCAAACCAGCAGCAAGCAGCACCAAGCGAGCAAAGCGAGCAATAGCAGCGCACCCCAAACAATAGCCCGACCCACCTCCAGGAGAAAGACCACCGCCCCAGACACGACGGCCGCGATGCCACGCGGCCGGCGTGCGGATGCGCCGCGGACTTTTCCCGACGAAATGGCGGACGATGAATGCCGGATGCAAAACTTGAGCCAAAATACCGCGTTGGGTATTGGCGTACTACAAACTGCTATGATAAAAGTACATGCCCCCAAAAACACCCCCCTCGCCTGTACAAAGAGAAGGAGTGAATTTGGAAGGGCGCATTGGCCATATTGAAGTTGAAATGCAACAAACAAGACAAACAAAGCCGATTAGGCTACCAGGGTTCGCGACCCCATACCCGGGCACTCATTGGTGCCCGGATCCCGCCACCACCCCGAATTACGGGTATGGGGCGGATTCTCGCCGGTAGCCAAATCAAACAAGAGAAAGCAACAAAAGAAAAGAACAAAGGATCAACTTCGGAATGGCCGGCATGAAGCCGAAGAATTGTCATTTGCATTGCAACCACATTGAACCATTTGATTCAAGTGGATTTAAGTTTTAATTATTAGATTAGGCGCATTGGCCAGTTGGTTGAAACATGGTGCATAGACCAATGAGCTTTGGTTATAAATTAGCACCGTCTAGGCGCGCGATCACTCGAGGACAATCGCCATGGATACCACCAGCAGCGATCCGCGGTTCAGGTCCGAGTAGGACATCACCGGCAATCTTCACCTCGGCACCTTGATGAGCACCATCACCAGCAGCAGCAGCGGTGCAGGTGGATGCAGATCACCAGCGGCCATAGACGCCGCCGAGAGTGACTGCCTTGCTGCGGCGATGCACACCTGACAGGTAATCGCAGCTTGCGCGAATAGCGCACAGCTACGCATGCAATTGAATTCTGAAACGGCGAATAGCCCAGACAAAGAAATACTACAAGGAGCATAGTCCATTATGTGAATTCCGGAATGAAAGCATGCGCGCGTTGGCTCAGCCATGCAAAACGCACGGACAGACTTCAGGTATCACCGATGTCGTCCACCGCCGTGCCGCCCCTTCCCCTTGTTGACATTCCAGTCCCCAGGGGGAGGAGGCACAGTCTCGGCCAACTCGTCACCTCATGTAGGGGTATGCGGCGAGTTCGGATTCTCGAACTCGCGGGGATCACCCTGCATATGCGGCTGCCAACCCTGCGGCATTGCGCCAGGCCACATTTGTGGCATCATGCCAGCCATAGGCTGTTGCAAGTATCCTCCCATAGGGAAAGACCGAACTGCCCTTGTTGGTAGCCGTATTGGCCACCCTTGCCTTTGTACTGATCAGCCTTGTGACCCTTTCCTGGAAACTGGTCACCCTTGTGACCTCCACCCTTGGGCCAGGACTGCGCAGGGGCTTTGCCCTTTTGCTGATCCCCCTTTGACCTGGATTCAGGTCGCGGGGTAGCAGACCGATGATCTCCCCTAGGAGTGGCTGCCCGCCTGTGGTGCTTCCCAGTCGGCGGGTCAGCAAAAACAATGGCGCATTGGCCGTCCCGCTGTGCAGCTGGGACCATGTCAACCTTGTTGTCTTCGACATAAATGTATGCCTCAGCATACTCAATCGGGGCCGTGATGGATCCACCACTGCCCCGCAGAGAGTCGATACTCAAATCAAGAACTGTGGAGGGATCAAAACTTGGGTCCTCACTATTGAAGTCCGCGAGGCGTCGCTCAGCCTGCACCAATGACATTATGATGTCCGCGCGTGAGGCGCCTAGGCCATACAGCGGAACCAAATATCGTCCTCAATTCCGATGCGGTAGGCATCATAAATATGCACAGAGAGGTAAAGGGCAAATGCTGAATTTAGACTGCCCTTTCTCGTCATATGACGACCCCATTGCGCCGCCTGTTGCGGGTGCTCGATCAAATATGTCATGACAGACATATTGTCGGGAATTGGGACACCAGTATTGCTCTCTTCGATGAGCAGCTGTTTCGCTACCCACCGCTCGAGAGCCTCATCACTCGCACGCACACAAGCGTGAGTGTCCTTTGAGGTGACCTTTGCAACCTCCTGAAACGCAACTTGCACGATATCCGCATTGGGATTGTGCACAAGGTGCGGCGCACAGCGCAAACCGGAGATCATACAGCTGACCACCTCGCGGATCGGGTTTACCGATGCCATGAGAGGAGCCCACACGTCGGTCTCCCCTTCATCCCAGCTGCTGGCACGGACTGCCTTGAGTCCGTCCAACCAGACTGGCTGCCCTCTCCTAACTTGGGAGCGGATGGTGCCTGGCACCCACTCTCGATAGAAAATCGGCAAATGGCAACCATTGCATAGAATGGTGCCATACATGTTCAAATGCGCGCACCGAGGGCACCAGTAGTCATGCATGGGAGCTTTGTCCCATGAAAATGACACCCCTCTCCGCGGTCCCTGAACATTCAACTCACGGACCGCCCAGGGACGGATGTATATTACATCCCCTTCCTGGTGCAGATAGCATGCGCGCCAGAAGGGCGCATGTATCTCCTCTCGCACGGCAATCAAACCGCGTCGGGTTTTGTAGATGCCGGCGGCTTCCTCGATGGCCATCCACTTCAGGTCAACGGCCACAACGACATGGCGCTTGTCCATGTATTTGATGCGGTCGTCAACATAAAATTCGCCCTCATTATTGGGGCTTGGCAACTTGAGGAGAGGCACCTTTGCGCCCTCCAACCCAATCGTGATCTCCCCCCTGCAGACCTGCTCAGGTCGCATGGGGAAAACTGTGATGGCGAATTTGCCGGGCCTCCGGATGCACCTCGTTTTGAGGGCGGACCGATACTCGGCCATCGTCAGCAGCACGTATCCCGTATAAGGGACCTCCGCTGCTCCCATCGGCCTAAGCAAAGGCCCCATAGGCGTTCGGTCACGCAGTGCCCAACGCTTGAAAACTTTGAACGGCACGTCCTCCCGATTAGGGTGGAACGTGCAAAAAGTACCTCATTCGGGCGCACAGTCGTGCCATCTCCCCTCCAGACTGTCCGTATTAGGAGCTCGACTGGAGGGTACGCTGGGTTCTCCTTCGCAAGAGAACCCGCCCAGGTCGCCACCTCGACGCTCGTGCACTTATGGATCCCGTAGAGGGCCTCAAAAAGCGTTGAGATTAGAGTCATTGACATCCAACCTCCCAGAATGTCTGGAACCGTCCCACACAAGAAGGGAGCCGGCTCACCGGGCTTCACGTTCAACCGCGTTGGGTCAGTGTTGCCCGACAAAATTTCTAACAGCATTTGCGACTCTCTGGAGCTTCGTCCAACCATCGCCGACACATCCTTAATTTCGGGGAAAAAATGGAAGATGTCGTTACCGGCAGGACAGGCGATTCTGCCTGCTGTCCCGCTCTGTGCATCAAACACAACCTCTTCACCCTCGTATGTGAGGTTGTAGTTGCTCGCAATCGGGCACACATCGGGCTTTGCCATCAGTGCCTCCTCTAGCGACGCACCAGCAGGGAGGACGCCCTGTACGTGCGCTTTGGTACCTATGGGACCAGTCCCCGCCGACATAAGCCGATAATTTTCGGCACGAAAGTACGGAAAAAGGTTCTTCATCCTCTCAATTTCCTCTTCAGTGGTACGCCACGCCTTTGCCTCATAGTAAGGCGGCTCCTGCTTCGAGGGCACTAGGTCGCGGTCGCCCATTGATGAGAACTTGTCCACATAGGGGCCCATCCCATCATCATCTACGTGACTCTCGTGATCCTCATCCGAGACGTACTCCCTGGGCGGCTCGCCCAGAGCGTCCAGATCGACCTTACCAAGGTCAACCAACGCCGGAGAATCCAGGACTCTCTGGATCCTCATGAGCTCGTTTCTGAACTGCTCAAAGCCTCCGGCCTTTTCAGTTACGGAGGTCGGCATTGCGCCCTCCCATGATTCTGGAAACATGCACACATTCGTAGGAGAATACTCGTCATCGGAAATATCCCGATCACGCTCCCGTACATCGCTGATCAGTGTCACATCCAACACGCCGCTTAGGGCCTCAGGACGCGACGCTTTCGCCGGATGCGGCTTTGCGCTCTTTGACGCTACGGCAGCCTCCTTGGCCGCTTTGGTCTTCTTCTCATCGCCCTTACTCCCCTCTTTATCCACATCCATTGCGGACGGCTGTGCGCTCCCCCCTGCCCCGCCCGTTGGCGGTTCAGAGGGTTGGACAGGGGATTCCTTTGTGCGGGCTTTGCCGAAATAATGTCCTGGGATCTGCACGCTCCCAGTGGAGCCACCGCCAGTCTCTCTTGGACGCTTGGCAGTGTGAGCCGACCCAGTATGTACAGCAGGAGCCGACCGCCTAGGAAGGCCCTTACTGACCGACAGAGATGGAGGAGGTGGCTTCATCTTGGGAGCCGGCTCCGCCTGGGCGCCGGTTCCGGGTCAATTACGCAGGACCTGAGGTCGAAACTTTCAGACCTCAAAAGGCCCGCGCAATAGGAACGGAAGACGTCCTCAACCTCCCGAGCAAGGAACTCGGGATGGTCCTCCTC